ATTCTTCGTACTCTTTCGAGCTGTGATTCTTGTAATGAATTTAATAAAACAAAGTATGTCTTACATCCCCATGGATACATAAGAAACTCATCAAGTTGTTCAACCATTCCAAGGTTCTGAAATCGATGTATCTTCCAGTTGGTTTTAAAACGCATTCGACGAACATAACTAATCCCAACTTAAATTTATCTTCTCGTTCTTGACACGTATGAAATATTTCAGAAAGTCTCATCATAGTAATTCTCTTTGAACCATTGAAGTATTCATCCCTAAGTCGAGTATTACTAAAATTTAGATCGACAGTAACTTTATGGCATGGTAATCCAGTGATTAGATAAAATTCTTGCAGGCCAAAACTAGCTACATGATCGTGTAATTGTACCCAAACTTCGTTATTTTTACCGCAATTTATAAGTCTCATTATGAACTCATGTATTAATTTGTTGCTAAATTTTTCATTTTACTTTTTATGCATATTTCCGTAAATGAAACCATGGAATGGATTGTACAATAAAGAAGCTTGATCGTCTGCATCTATAAACTCTACAAAATTTTTAAGATATTGATGATTTGCAAATTGAGTAATCGTAGCAGATAATCATTGATTTGGAGATAATATGTATTTTAACGACATCTGCAAAAATTATTAAAAAAACTATTCATTAGTCAACAAATTTATTCATATACTAATCTAACATAATTTTTAGAAGCTGGCAATTTTTTTTTATTATGATGAATGATATTTTACGTATTACAACTTTATTAAAAATAAATTTAAGATTATATCTATACTACTTGAAGCATTGTTTTTTGTCGTTGATCTGAAACTGTACATGTATTGTGATGGAAATGATAGCTACTCATATTTTCATATTTGAGACTTAATAGTACAATATATAGATGGAAACAATATAATTTGCACTATGATTAATATACAGTTTAAATAAATAAAATTTGTGAACTTTAATAATTACGCAATATATTTGAAGAAAATGTTATACAAAAATTTATGAAATTGGAATAAGTCAATAATGAGCGGAGAAAAATAATTGTAAAAAATAATATTAAAAAAAACAAAATATAACTATAAAAATAAGTAAAGTCAATCACCATAAACAAATTTTTTTACAAAATGCAAAAAATAAAAATGCATAATAAATCTTCTTATTACGCTAGTAAAATTACAATAATTTTTTTTTACAAATAACATAAAAAAATTATTTTTATTTTCAACAAAAAAACATATTTAAAAATTAGCAATTTCATAACCACTTTTTTTTTTAATTCTCGAAAATACAATTATAAAAAAGGAAATAATATTGAATTACAACATTTAATACTTAAGAAATTCAATATTAAATAAATTTTATACATTTATAACAAATTATAAATTCATATATTCAGCTTATCGTATTTGCCGGCAACTTACCGTATTTGCAAACAATTTACCGTATTTACAGTCTATCGTATTTCCAAACAACTTACCGTATTTTCATCTTACCGTATTTGCAACTTACCTTATATGCTGCCTACCATATTTCCATCTTACTGTATTTTTATGTACCGATTTTGGCACTTACAAATACCGAGAATATAGAACACCGTACATTCACTTACCAAACCGAATTTCAAAAAAAATTCCAGATTTTTATTTTTTCAACATAGTATATATGAAGCACAAAATATAAATACATATGAATATGGTGCTCAATCTTCAATTTTTCAATATTGAATTATACAAAATTTAGAAATGTAATCTTCATATTCAACTCAATCATATCAACACTATCAAAGAATTCAAGCAAAATAATTTGTATAATCTTGTATATTTTTTATTCAAGTATGAAATATACAAGTATATTTTTTTTAGATGATAAAATACTGTTATGCAATTGTAAAAATAATTTACAATTATTTTCTTATATCATGGAAATATTTCTAGATATTGTTTCAAAAAATTAAAATTCACACACTAATAAAAATATGATAAATGCAAAATTCGTACAATGCACGTGACAGTCACTGTGCGAAATTTTTTTTTTTTAACATATATACTTTGTACTGTACGAAGAGTTCGCTAACTCTCCGCATTGTGCGAAGTTTTTTTGGCTTTTTTTACTCCCCACTGTACGGAGAGTCCGTACTCTGTGAGGACAGTGCCCATACAAAATGTCATCTCTCTGCACTGTGCAGAGAGATTTTTTTTTACTTCGCACCGTACGGAGAGTTGGAACTTTCCTCACATGGTTTGACATCTCTCCGTACTATGTGGAGAGTTTTATTTCTTCCTTTTTTACTCCGCACATGGTTTGCCATTTATCCGCACTGTGCTAAAAGTTTATTTTTATCCTTTTTAAAGCTCATGTTTGAAGAGATTTTTTTTTTTGTTTGACAAGTGCAATGTAGAAAAAGATTTTTTTTTTTTTTTTTAACTCATGACAGTTTAGATTTACTAAAATTATTATTATTTTTTTAATGCTAGTGTCATAATGTATGGAAAAATATTTGTTTGACATAATTATTTTTTTAATGTTAGTGGGATAATGTGTGGAAGAACATTTGTTTGATATAAACAAAATAAAAAATAAAAAATAATATCATACATAGTAAAATTGGATTCATTTACTATTGCATGAATAACATACTCTCCTTCCCTTTTTTATTAGAAGTTTGTTACAGAAATTGTAGCAACAATTCCTCCCCCCTCTTGAATTGGTCACTAAACTTTGGACATTTGATTTTAATTTTCCTTTTTATTTGTCTATTGAATGAACAAAAATATTGATGTGATAGTGGTACGGATATTCCATCTTGCTAATATTATTTGTTGATGAAATTAACTCCCGTTTGGCTTCCATTAATTTTTATTACATTACATTATATTTTTTTCTCTTTTATTTTTAATTACACAATTTTTCATAAAATAATATTACACGTAAATCGAAAACTTTTCTTTCTTTTCAACTACTCATTTTTCAAAAAGAATACTATTTCACCAATTTTCAACTCTACAAAGTGGGGGCAAACGAGGGCTAATATTTGTAGGTTTCAGAACATAGTGATGAAGTAATATCAATTCCGAGAACTTGAAATCTGCCTATCATGGTGTAAACATCATAATAGATAATCTTACTTCGTACACATCAAAATGTCAATGACTCCGATGAAAAATATACAAAAATACATCAAAAATTTAATTGAGATTTTAGCGTTAAATTCAATAAACGTAGACTTGTAGTGCAAAGTTGATTGCCATTTACAATCCAAGTGGGGTCCGTGGGGATCGGAGTTCGAAATATAAAAGCCTTCATGTGCGAACACAAAATCTGGTCTTCCTGTGTTCTGATCCACGGTACAATTGATTTGGACATCTAAAGCAAAATAATTTTAATTAAAGCAACTTTTAATTAACTTTTTAATTTGTTAAATATGACATGAATATTTAGCCATGTTTGATAGAGATTAAAATTAAATTTTTAATAAATTTTGATAATAAAATTTGAAAATGCGTGATTAAAAAGTTATAGGACCCCTGAAATATGTGGTTAAAATTAATTATTTGACTTTGACTTAAATTAAAATTTGATTTAAATTGGTAGCAAACATGACCTTACTTTTTCCTTAGGAATTTTTAATTTGAACCGTGAATACAATCACCTACTTTTTTTCTTATTTTTAATATTAGTAATTGTTGACAGATTCTAATAAACTTACCTCCTGTTTTGTAGAGATTAAAAATTAAAATTTAAAAAATTTTGATAAAAATTGACAGAATGTATAGTTGAAAAAATTATGAGTCCTATAAAATATGTAGTTAAAATTAACTATTGACTTTGACTTAAATTTTAACCAGATTTTTAGTGGCACCAAACAAGCAACAATGCTAGTGACAGAATTTTTTTGACATAATGAATTACCGATACTCACATTGGAAGGGGGTTCACTTCTTTTTTAGACTTTTTTATTCACCGGGGATCCACGCATTCTGGGAGAATGTCAACCATTATATTAATAAAAATCTGGCAAAGTAGGATAATTCCCAAATAGGAGCTTAATCTTTGTTGGGTAATTGGCACAAAATGTCCCTACCTTTCAAGTCTATTGTGTAAAACGTCCCTACCTTTCATTTTTTGGCATTTTTGCCCTCATTTCAACATTTCTTTGCGCTGGACGTCCTTCCGTCCATATTCCGTCAGTTTTTTCGTTAATTAAATACAAAAATACCTTTTTCTTTCCATAAACAAGGGTAAAATTGTCCTCACCCACTTCACCCCTTTTTCCCGCCATCAACTTAATCCATAAGTAACAGTAGCAGCAACATGAATCTAAAAATACTTTAAACAAACGGGGGTAGGAGCCAAAGTATTATCAGGGCATTCCATAATTGAACTTCATGGCTTAAAAACCAAATTGATGTTTTGTAAGGAGGACATTAGCGGCGTTTCTTCTTCTAATTATTACTGATATTTTAGGTGCGAGTAGTTAAGAAGTGATTTCGCACAAGATGGCAAGCTTTCATTTGTTATTCAAACGCTGTCATGCATTTTTCTATGGAGGTTTAGGTTTTATTTGAATATGCAAGTACTTATCACTGGAAAAACGTGCTAAACAAAGAGAATTGAAGAATAATATGTTAATAAATTGAAGCTTGAATAGAATAAAAGAGATGAAATTGTTACACTCTAGATGCATACAAATTAGGTCTTACGGATTCTTTTAAGGAGATTTTAGTATAAATTAAGCTCTATCCGTTTTTGTTTGTTTGTTTGTTTGTTCAGAAATTTAATACAAGGGGTTATTGTACTTCCCTATTTTTTTAAAAAATTTTCGTTTCACCCCTGTTCAAAGTTCTGTTCATTTTTTTTCTTTTTTCCCCCTTTTTGCGATGCAAACCTTCATTTTAAGATAAGAATTTACTGCTATTTTTCCCCATGAAAAAGATTTTACATTTTTACAAGTCAATTTTGAAATATTTCGTCATTGGTGATATTTACTAACGAAATTGGCATTAATTTGTTTGTTGTATAGGTCGGTGATGATGAACGGATTCATGTATACTATGCTCGTGGAGAAGATAACCCTACCTTTGTTCGCAGATGTTACTGGCTACTTGACAAGTAAGAAATCATTAGGCTTGTAGAATCCTATGTTGAACACAACAAAGTCTTTTATGCATTAAATACGGTGTTTATTGGAATTTTTATTGATAGCTATGTTTGTTGCAGGACGCTGGAACACATTGTCCTAGTTCATTATCGTGAAACTCAGGAGGTTTATCTTCTGTGCCTTGTGAAGCTCTCTTATTTAGTTCTTTGAGTATGTCTATAGTGTATTCATGTCTTTAGTCTGTATAAATTTTGTAGAATAGTGCTGTAGAAAATTGAGCATATTTCTATGACATGACGACCTTACTTGACTCTGGCTATATGTAATGAATTTATATACAGTATAATTCTAATTTGCTGAATTCTTAAAGACTAGATATGAATCAAGAGGACCTGTGTGTTAGACGGAAGTTCCTAGACGTGGTTTTAACTTTCAAATATCAATGGAGAGAAATTCTACAGTGACATATCGCGACATCAGAATAACCAATTGTGCAATATGAAGTCACATGCATTAACCACAAGTTCATTCTTAGTGGCTTAATAAGGTCTCTAGTTAAGATAAATTTGAAAGGAAAAATTGTTAAAAAATTCATTTATGGGCAGCTTCGAAGTCCCGTATAAGAATTTTTTATTTGTGTTATCTTGTACCGTGTTTCTTTTTACTCGTTTAGATATACTGGTACTTTATCTATATGTACTTTAGCAGCCTGTTTGGGAGCCATTTTTTGATTCAAAAAATTGATTTTTTTTAATTTTTATTTTACTATTTCAGCCGTCATATTTAACTTCTTCTCTCACAGGTGGATCCCACTTTTCTCCTAACGGTCAAAAAATCAATTCTCAAAATCACTCCCAAACAGATTCTAGAGAGGTTTTTCATCCACGTGAAAAGATAAGAGTATTTCACAGCATAGGTAAAAGGTCGAGGTTTTGTGCCAATTACCAAATATAAAATAACTTATACATTCTCAATAAATATTATTTTTAATTAAAAAAATAAAATATTTTAATGATACTCTTCAAGAAATATAAAAATGTTAATTTTTAAATGAAAATAAAAATTTTAATTTAAAATGATATGGAGATTTTAAAAAATTATGAAAATGAGGGAAATATAAAATATTGATTTTTTAAAAAAGGAGTTGTTTTTGAAAAAGTAATTATTTTTGAAAAAGTAATGCTACTTAGCCCCCGTTGATCCCCATTTTGTGGTAATGAGAATGAGTGGAATATTATTTTTTTGAAAAATGAGTGGTTGGAAAAGAATGAAATTTTTTTTATTTACGTGTAATATTATTTTATGGAAGATTGTGTGATTGAAAATAGGAGCGAAAAAAATGCAATGTAATGAAATGAAAATTAATGGGGGTCAAACGGGAGTTTAGTATTAGTGAAAGCACAAGTGATATTAAATTACATGTTCAAATAAATACAAGAAATTATAATTCATTTAATATGACTCGTGATATCTTGACACCTAAATTGATATTCAATATTGCTAATACTAGATATTATTATTCTTTTTGAAAACATTACAAACGGCTATTTTTCAATGATTGTGCTGCATGAACATCACAACTTACATATTTATTTATCAATAGATAAGGCCTGCGAGACTTGATTTGGTTAAAATCTCATCAATCAAATAAAAGTAGGGTTGTAGTGTTGTCCCTTCTATCAAAACCTCTAGAGATATAGCAACCGATCAAAGTTATTGGGCTCTTTCGAGCCCATAAGAAACCGACAATAACACATACAAAGCCCATTAACTCTGCACAACTGAAGCCCAATCTTACAAAACCGTCTTCCAAAAAGGATCCAAAACCCTAACCATTTTACTCTTCTGCCGGGACGCAACCTATTGCAGTCTAACGATCAGGTTTCCGGCCTCAATTTCTTTATATTTATATGTATATATAATCAAGCATTTTGAATTAATATTTATTCTTTTCTGATTCAGAGAAGAAATGGCAAAATCGAAGAACCACACTGCCCATAACCAGTCCCACAAGGCCCACAGAAACGGCATCAAGAAACCCAAACGTCAACGCCACACCTCCACCAAAGGGGTTCGTTGAAATTCATTCACCTGATTTCTTGTATATGGTTGTGGAGTTGAAAAGTTTTGATCTTTTTTCCTTATTTTTTTGTGTGAAATGTTTTACAGATGGACCCCAAGTTTTTGAGGAACCAGAGGTATGCTAGGAAGCACAACAAGAAGGCTGGTGAATCTGCTGAGGAAGAATAGACCTAAAATTACAAATGTGCCCATAACCCATTTTCTAATAAGTGGGCAAATGTGATATGTAGGCAGTTGCTTTTTTAGGCTGACCTTTTGACTTTACCATTGAACCCTGATATGTGAATTGTTATCAATATTTATTGCTATTATATGAGCTAAAACGCATAATTTCTTGTTCAATGTCAAGTTAATTTCTTTTGGGATTATAATTTGAAATCCATTTGAGCCATGGATGCTTCTTGTGGTGAATTCTACATTGGTGATGATATAGTAAGGCCCATTTGGCAACGCATCTGCATTTGCTTATACATGTTGTAGGCTTGGAAGAGATGAAGCTACTTTAGGTTAGTTGCTTCTAAAAATTCGAAAATTATTCAAATAAGTTGAAAAGTAGCTTTTTTGGCTTTTCCAAAGTTCTGACAAAGTGGTCCTGAACCAGTTGGGTGTTGCTTCCTCGTACGACATACATGGCTGAATTTGCGTATGTTCACGAAAATTTCCCCGTTTGTATTTGGTGGAATGTATTCTTGACGTTCTCGTGCATGCACTGATGTGCTCCCATTTTAAGTTTTCTAAGAATGAAGTCTTATTTTTTGAAGTTTCTCGAATTAATTTGAGTTTCTAAATAATGTTGCTAGTTACCGGTGACTCATGTTCAAGTTTTCAACGAACAGTCTCGTTCTTTGAAATTTGTTGATTTGATTGAGCTTCTTAAGACTGCTACTGGTTAATAGTGACTATAGTTGTTACAACTTACACATGCTCGAACAGGCCAGGGTTTCAGTCATGGAAGAATCATTACGAAGTATAGATGTTAATTGAGGTTCATTGTCAATGAATTGTTTGGTGATTACATGTTAAACTTCTGGGTACTCATTTTTCAGGCGTGATTGAATTGTTTAGCCTGCCAAATGACGTTGAAAGTCAGTCAGCATAATGTTGAAACGGATCATTGGATGCTTATAACTTTATATGGCTATTAGTCTCTGAGGGGAGAGAATTATTTGCTTAGTCCGTTTTCTTTCTATCGATTATATCCTTTCATGTCACTCTCTCTGTCATGGCACAAGACCCTCAATTTCTCCATTTTTTTCATTTTTCTAATTCGTGTGTAGGGACGACATCGTTCGGCATGCTATCAAGAATATGGAAAATTGACTGAAAATCTCAGGCAGGACAGAAGATGGAATTGGTAGATTGAACTGCTAATGTTTTCAGACTTTCAATTCGATATAATTGGCTCTAGACCCGAATTCCTCACGTGAATGTGAAAACTAAAAAGATTGATACAACTACATATTTTCCCGACTAAATTTCTTGATGCTAACTTACGGACACAAGCAAGTACCCAAATGAACAGCAATCGGAATCCCTTAGCTGGAACTTGAAGAAAGGTCTTTAATAATGCCACTTTAGCTACACTTGATAGACTAGATAGTTCGCTCAATAGTCTTTTTCCTCATTTTGTGAATGCTGGGAATTTGAGGATGGAGATTTTCTCACTCAAGGTGAATTGGTGATTCATTTCACGTGTTTGTGATGAGGACATCCATTTTTAATTAAGTTTAGCAATTTTAATTATTTTAGTTGGAAGTTAGGTTATTTTAATTTTATGGACTTGTGTATTGGGCTTGGCCCTAGGTTTACATTATTTTCCAGTATTTAAACCTATCTTACATTGTTATTTGGGATTGATGAATTTGATGAATTAAAAGAATTGATTTTGCAGCCGTTTTCCTTCTCTTCTCCCCCTCTTCCCCGTCTCTGTGTTCTCCTCTTCCCTCCCCTCCTTCTTTCTCTGTTAATTGATACTACATCAGTTTGTGGAAAGTGTTTGTAGATGTCCGAACAAAGGATTCTGAATGCCAGAAAACTTACTTTAGCTGATTTGAAAAGCTCGTCGAGAACTTCAGACAAAGTTGGATGCGCAAGGACAGCAAACTTGATGTCCTGTGAGGTAGAAGTACATGGTTAGCTTGCCAAATTATAAATATTTCCAGTCGGGCACTTCAGAGGCAAAACGGAGGGCAGATGACTGGAACTTATGTTCGGGTACCTGAACTCGCGTCCCTAATGCTATGGCATTAGATGCTTCATGAATCAGGTCTGCAGCATGCATTCCAAAAATGTGTACTCCGAGTATTTCTCCGCTGTCAGGTCTGTATATCAACTACAGGAAACGATGGAAGTACAGAAGGATATACCTTCAACAAGCTCGTGACAACCAATGAACATGAAGTAGCAAGATCTTCGTGTTACCTTGGTAAGAACATAATATGATAACCAGAAATTATATCATACGAAGACAAATGGTATTCTATGGCGATGCAATGATATAAAAGAGGAGAAAGAAAACATAACCTTAGCAAGTCCTTCCCCTTCATTTTCTGCTAGGGCTTTTGTATTGGCTTTAAAACTCGTTTTTGCGATACCTATCTCAAACCCTTCCTTTTCAGCTTTCTCCTTCGCTTGTGGCTGAAACATAAACAACATAATAACATCATTATAATTCATACACAAGACTATTTGGTTTAATACCCATGACTGAGTTAAAGCAAGAAAAATGAAAAAATAAAAAGGAAAAGGAATTCAATCCATTGCATGCTACAGGCCAAAATCTGGCGTCACATTGGAAAAAGCAGAATATAATGACCCATAAAAACGAATAAGCACCTTTCTTGTCTATAAGACATAAATATAGTGGGCTTCGTTTGAGAAAACAACTTATTTACAAGCAGAGATAGCTAACTGTAAAAGTAATGTTTATAGTTGAAGACTATGTAAGAAGTCCTGCTTAAATGATGCACATAGTTAATAATTGCTGGTAAGACAGTATTTTCGCCACTTAAACCACTAGATGAGTCTTGTTTACAGTATTACATAAAAAGATTTGGAATTTACCTCAGTCAACCCAACCATACTGATTTCAGGATGAGTGAAACAAGTCGCTGGAATGCTCAAATGGTTGAGCACGTGATCTCTTCCAGTAACTTGTTCAACAACTGTGTTAAACAAACGTTGTGATATATATATATGACAGGTGAAATAAAAATATCGAGTCTACATACTAAAGTTATAAAGTAAAACCACCTACCAGAGATTCCTTGAGCACTTGCTGCATGGGCAAGCATCATTTTACCATTTGCATCACCAATGCAATACAAGTGAGGAACCTAATAATCGAATTATTAGGTCAAGAACATTTTGAGTAACCATAAACAAATTGGGCTGGAGGTTACAAACCAGATTGCCGTTTGCATCAATTACTCTCATGCGCTCATCAACTGGAACAAAACCACGCTGTGTTTCCACATTGATCTGAAAATAAATAAACACCACTCTGAGATTCATATATTAGTTGTTCAGACTTATATCTACTTGTATGAAGAGGGCGTACATTCTCCAGTCCAAGACCCTTTGTAAATGGAGCCCTTCCTGTTGCAATTAATGCTGCATCTACCTATAGTAAAAGTAACTGTGTAAATTTTTAGCATATAACACAAAACAAAGTGAAGAGGAAATGAAGAAATTACTTGCCAAGGGACGATAAGCTTGTATTATTGAAGTTTTAAGAAAGAGGTGGAAGTTGGTTTTGGAGAAAATCAAAATTTGACAACTTAAAGTTGATTAATTTTTTTTTTTTTTGCGCTTATGACCCTCAGCCCTAGAAGTAATTTTGTAATAAATGGTCATTTTGTTTGCAACAGATCTTTGTCTAGCCCTTTCTTCAACTTAAGAAACCTAATTCCAACATCAAAGATAACAAATAATAAGAGTTAAGTGTGATGAAATTTTTTTTTTTTTCATTTTTCAATCTTAAAATGGAATGTTTGGAGAAGACGCTAGTTTGGTTGAGTCCACAAACAGGACACTTTGTCAACGCAGCATGGTTTTGCTCCATCCATGCCCAGCGAAAAGATAAATTGGACAAGAAACAATTTCGTAACAGTTGATGTCTAGTCCATACCAGTATCTTATAATTAACGTTTGTATATAATAGGAAAGCAAATTCCTCAAGCTACATTGAATACTACCAAGACAAACTTTGGTTGGCAGACTGCTGGTGACCAACAGTTATGTAGAATGTCCTTCAGTCGATATAAAAATGTCACTTGCAGAAATTAACATTTTTGGAAGTTGGCACGGCTAGTTGAGTTTTAGATGTTATAATGTGATTGGTATAGTTCCTTAAATCACGGTAGCTGGTCTATTGGGAAGGGGGCCGGGGAAGAAGAGAACTATTCCCTCCAAAGTATCTTTAGGTTCTTTTGTCTTGGCATCAGTAAGCTCAATAATAACTGGTTTTCCATCCTCGGCAGGAGTTATCTATCAAGTCACAGAAAGTGAGTGAAATATTTTGAAGGTATATACTTGCACAATTAAGCAATACCTTGGTCGCAAATACTCCAGTGTGGTAGTCAATCTTTCGTGGGTTTATCAGCACTCTCTGGTTAATTCAAAGCAAAAACTACATTTCAAATAGTAACATTACCTCACTACCAAGTGCTGTATATACGTCACTGAATTCAAGCCCAATATATCCACTTCCAACTATGGCAACCCAATCAGGAACAACTTCCAATTTGAGAGCATGATCACTTGTAATTACAGTCTTCCCTGCAACGATAGCCAGAGTTTAGAAATGCTAGATTTTACTATTAAAGAAACAAATATAGCAAAAATAGGTTATATATCTAGCAAAATTAATAAAAAGCTGCAAGATTTATTTGTTGAGGTGATTCCTTTACAAGTAGTTAAGCTATTAATGTATAAATCCTGTTAAAAATAAAAAACCAGCCTTTCCCCAATCTCTCTTGCAGCTCATAACAGTTTTCCCAAGTTCCAATCTCCCCTATGCTCCTCAACCATATTATCAAGTGAAAACACCATACTCGCATTGCTTCTAATAATGTCAACCAATAAATTCATGCTATCAATTAGGAAACAGCAAATTGTACGGTACATGTCTTTTTAATTTCTTTATTCCATTTTTTCTTTCACTCTTTCTTCCTATTTTTTCAAGTGGAAGGTGTCTAAACATGCAAAATTATGGCACTTGCAAAATTTTAGCTGCAGGGATTACAAGCTTCCATGTACCTTTCCTCTCTGACCACAAAAACTTAAGTCATACAAGTAAAATGCTCCAGTATAGTCTTCTTGTGGAAAAAAAAAGGGAAAAGCTCGTGCAAGTTTGCAAGCCTCATCAACTTCTTCTGCCAATATCTTATACATATTTCAGGTGATTAGAGCTGCAAAAATGAGCAAAGCAATCTAGGCTTCTTAACAGTTTGGTGCCACCAAACATTATTGATGAACATGAGGCTGTCTTGCTTGCATGCATATAATTCCTATTGCGGTTGTTAAGTACTCATATTATACATCTACAATATATGGATGCAAGAATAACTACAAAACTCCCATTTTCAACATATTTTCTGAACTTATTGACAATGCTCATTCTCATGAGTTGAGATGTGAAGTTCATGTATTGCACTCGGCAATCAATAACTTGACAAAAGTCTACTTCAATTTTAACGTAAATATTCTGAAAATAGAAATTAATTGTAAGCCTTCCTTAATATTAGCATTTTTATCGAGATAGAAAACCTACTTTTGGCCGAATAGTTGGTGGTAATTAAAATGATATCGTGTTTATCTATAAATGTAAAGCATTTCAAAAATTTAAGACTAGGATTCATTGATTCTCTAGATTTAAATTAAACTGTGATGTGAATACATTCAATTCAAATAATTCTTGAAAATATAGGAAATGATATAAATATTTCCCAATTTCGCATTTTTGACCTAAATTTTCACTCAGTACTGAATACCAAAGTAATTTCCCTCTCATTTTTTTACCATGTTTTCAATGAAGGGTTTGAACAGTATGGTACTGTAGAATCTTACAGATTTAAAACTTGCGGCATGCCCCAAGTTTTGATTGAAAAAGTATCAAATGAAACAGCTTGCATATTTTGACAACTTTCCCATGAAATCAACCTGTCTTCAGCATCAAATAAATTGCCAGTTTTGTAGGTAGAGAGTTTTGTGAACAAAGTGAACCGCTGGAAAAGGCAGAGTAAAGCGGAGATTACTTACCATCAACCTCAATTCCTTTGGGGACAAAAGGAACAGATCCAGTAGCTATAATTATATCTTTTGCAGTAATGACGTTGTCAGGAAAGCCAACTTTTCCATATTTGATCTTTTGAGGACCCTGAAATTGTTACGAGTGATATAGACAGTTACCCTGAGGGTGTATATAAACATGATAAAAACTGTAGAATCTTAAAATAACATCTTCTTATATTATTAAGAGATTTGGCTTAATAATTGACTGGATAAGAACTTTTGGTTTCAGGTTTTCACTAATCCCATATGAAAACATCCAGGACTTACCAGTATTGTGCCAAATCCTGTTAAAATGTCTACACCAAGGGCCTTCATTGAATTAGTCAAATTATTACGAATTTTTGAAGCAAGGTTATTAGCTTGGTCAGCAACTGCCTGCCTCTCATACCCAGCAGCTGCAACCTATCATTAGTTGTAAGAAACATAATGTCAAGTTTGATAAAATTTGACAACAAATAAAATATAATGCAATAAAATGTTAAAGGCAACTGTTAACAAGAGCAGACTATATTGTTATCTGCAACTAGCACAATAGAGCAAATGAATTAGCTAACCCACACAACTAAAAAAAATATAAAAATATATTGTTTCTGCTATGCAACATCAACAATAATTCTCATTTGTTTGTAATTTTAGCAGGGGTGCCAGGGAAATTTAATAATATAGAAGATCTTTCGAAATATTTTGCCAACAAATCTTGATAGAATACAAGTATGTTGGGCAACCCAAAGGTTACCTATTATAGACAATAAGTATCTTTTTAAAAGAAGGCAGAAAGAGTAGAAGAAATCTTACAAAACGGCCGAACACGGAGAGAGGCAGAAGACGTTCTCTTCACAAGACAAAAGGAGCCCCAATTTATCAAGTAATAATGGCCAAGTATGGTAAGTATGGCTAAGTTAATTATTGGGTGGAAGTAGAGGCCCAAAAAGTAAGTAAAGGGCTCACAAGTAATTCCTCACAATTATGACCATCCAAGAAAGTGGATTGGACCAAGAGCAACACTAAAATATTTAGGTTGTTTCGAATGTTCTAATTAACCTTTTTGGTCATATTGTCTCAATTGTAGTGTTATATTTCCGTTCAATCATTTGGTTAAGCAAACTGAAAACTAAAATCGAATAACAGTTATGAATGTGTAATTAAGTTAATGGAATGTGTGAAAATTAATGGATAGCAGTTATGAATGTGTAATTAAATTAATGTTTATTTATAAATTGTATCGAAATAGCATCTTAAAATTTTAACATATTTTTTAATCACAAGATTTGACTATTGTAACGAGATCAATAACCCTCTCTAAATGGATCTTTTTTTAAATAGATACATAAGATAACAAAATAAGGATTTGTCTACATGTACACCGGAGTGTCACAGACCCCTCATAAGAGGGGGTCCACGATTTTTTTATTCGTCATGGGCTACTCGGGGGTCGGTCAATTTCTATGTACAAATAGAAAAATCTCAATAGGAAGTTCGAAAATGTGACTTTACTAAATCTTAATGGCAATATTTCTCATAGATTAACATTATTGATTTGAGTTAGGTATGGACCTCTTGACTGTCCATTCATTAATCAGTTAAGATAAGATAGCTTTGAAGTATCTAACAGACCGTACTTACTAATTTCAAATCTTCCGCTGCCGGTTTCTTAACTAAATTGCTCCTATTTCAAATCGGCACATCAGGTGCTGCCTCTCTCCTTTTTCTATTCTATAATATATGTAGAGTTATTTGTGTGTTGTTCTTGTTTAAATCATTTTTGTTATAAAAAATAATGTAGGTATGCAGTTTTTGGTGCTAGCTTCACTGGTTTGTCTGTAGCTTGGCATTTGCTCAATGTACCATCTCTCATTCTTTGGATTTTTCGAGCTGTTTAGACCAACTGATTTGAATACCAGAATATATAAAAAGAAAATGAAGTCTTCAATTAATATAGAAATCAATGCTATTAGTTACGATTTTTTTTTTTCTCCAAGGGTTGTTATCGGTAACAAGTCATAGCCAAAGGCTCATAATATTTTGTCAAATCTTCTGGTGTATCAGTTTCTAGTAAAAGCTTCAAAGTTTATGAGGTTTGGAGCCAGTAATCTCGCGAGCATGCAAATAACATATATCTGTGTACAGCATAGTCTAAATTTGTCTCATCAAAAGATAATAGTATGTGTATGGTTGTAGATTACTTCATCGATTCATCCTCTCTTGGCAGTAATTTCAAAATGGACAAGCATTAGAGGGTGAGGGTAAAGCATCAAGGAGAATAATCATATGAAAAAAAAAAAAAGGTAAATAATATAAATTTAGTTTACCCCTTTTTTCATAGGTTATATATAAACAATGAACCGGTGGTTAACTAACAACTTTATTCCACTTTCGACATCCTCAGTTTTTGTGATTGTTGAGCTAGAAAATGGTAATAAACCCTTAAAGTTGGTGGTTAAGTGAGCCTTGTATATTCAGCAGGTTCCATAAAGCTGGTGAGTCTCTTAGAATTCCAACTTTAAAGACAAATAATAACATGCAACTAAGAACAAGTAACAACCATCTTAGCAAAATATGTAAATTACCAATTTAAGGAAGCAGAAAGCATTGCCAGAAATTGCAAACTTAGCATATGGACCCGCAAACTGCAAACTACAGAGTGAAAGACAATTGAAAAGAAATTTAAACTGAAACAAGCTGATCTAACTTCACACTTCACAGCATGAATTTCAACAGGCATAAATACATTAGCAATACCACACCATACCCTTCGATGAAGCACAACCATATATTCTAGTTACTCCAACATAAGATATCTAACTGAACAAAAGATAAATAAGATTTAGGTTTACCTAGGCCTTAATTCTTCAGAAAATATTTTGGTAAAATAAATTGGTTAAGAAAGTCATGGGAATATTTCACAACTTCAAAGCCACAAACAAATTAAAACCTCGTTGTCAAATTTTTTCATGGAGATGCTAAAATAATTAAAGCATATTTCAGTACAGGAAGTGCTCCATGGAACAATCTAATCAGGAATTATTCTAATCAAGTCAACCGCTATCCAGTATACAAACATCAGAACACAGTGCAAAATGCCAATCAATATAGTATCATGATGACTACATCCGTTTAAAAGCTCTCATGCAACTTTGAAGGGAGAATAAGTGAAAAGACACAAAAAAAGAAGGTTGAGAAAGGAAAAAAAAATGACTTCGAAAGGAGTGGTGCATTTGAGAATAGAAGGGTAAACATTAGTAAAGTGGTGTCCTTCACCGCTCACATCAAATCTTTAATCATTCATGTATCAAAAATACAAAGATATTAAGTACATCAGGAAAAACATAGCGAAGTCAACCTTGTTAATGCTGATAGATAGATAGTCCAACAAAATTATTGATAGTTGTATTTAGTTGAGCTTAGAAAGAATCAGGAATAATAACATGTATGCACTGAACAGAATACAAGATGTGCAATTGAAGACTAAATCGAATCACCTGCAAGGCCTTGCCGGACAAATGTCGTTTCCTCAGAGTAAGCATGGCTGACAATACTTCTAACCGGGTAACTTCCGCAACCCATTTATCCAAAAACTTGCCAAGAGAAGAAGCTGGATCACCTAAGATAGAGTACCCATCTTTCTTGAAGAAAGCTTCTCCGCAACATTGGTGTCATTATCTAATACCTCCACCTCATTTTCAGTCATCAGAAGACTCCTCTTCAGATAGCTCTGGGCCAGAAATTAGTTTATCTTCGGCATTATCTTCTAGAGTGGCACCAGAAGCAGTTGGATGACCTTCAAGTTCAGAGAAACCATTCTCCATGTCATCATCTTCCTCTCCACTCTTTGAGTCGGCCTGTGGAGAATAACTAAGATCTTCGATGGATAACTTTCGAATATTAAATGATTTGTCATAGAATTTCTTAAATATCAGCTGGTATTTCCCGAGGTTCAATGATTTTAGCCTTGTCATATCTTGCTATTTCTGTTTAGCACAGCAAATCCGAGAGGATACGCCAAATCCTCGATTCCAGGGTGCAAACAATATGTGTACATCAGAATTCTAGAGGACAGAAAATGATTACAAGATTCTAATTTTGCAAAACTCGAGATGGATGGACAATAATTCCAAAGATTCTAATTTTACACACCATTTGTCATAGTGTTAGAAAATTCTGAGTCTTTCAGCATGTCTAACCACTAGATTCCAGAGACTTTCGATTTCAACGGATCAGTTCAGATTCTAGATTAGTTTTGGTTTTGTCTCCAGCTGTCAAAGCTGTTATTAGTTAGAAGTTAGTTAGTTTGTCAACCATTTTCTCTATAAATGAACCCCTTGTATGCATTGTTAATTCATTGGATTTTATTCCAATCTCAATATGAAATCATCATATTGATTATTCTCTTCTCTCTAGTTTTATCCTAGAAAATTTTATCATGGAATTCTATTCCAATTTCGTATTGATTTTCTTCTTTCCTACAGTCATAGTAGGCTTCAGTTTTGTTTGAATTCTTGAATTCAACAAGGTATCAAAGCAGATCTTCTTCGCAATTCTTTATAGCCTCTTCAATTAATTTGCTCTTGGATTCAGTTCTGAAAATGGAGCTGACCAAATCTGAAGATAACTTTGGCTTCAGATCATCCGCTAGTTTGTCTGCCATTGGGAATGACCTCAAGGATAGCAACCACTGAGCCATTTGTAGCTGCAGCAACATCCTCATCCGAGCTAGACTCATCTTCTGAATCAGAATCATCACTTGACTCATATGTCTTCTTATCTACAACATCTTCTTCATTAGAACTGCTCTCAGAGTTAGGGTCAGACTTTTCTTTCTTCTTGGTAACAGCAACATTGCCGCTCTTAGCAGCAAATGAAGAAGGCTTCTTAAGTGCACTTGCATCCATGTTTCACACTTTAATCTTCAAGATGGACTATTGTTGATCTCCATAGTCCACCTTGAGGGGTGTGTGTTTGAGAATTCAGAGTCTTCCAGCATGTCTAACCACCAGATTCCAGAGACTTTCGGTTTCAACAGATCAGTTCAGATTCCAGATTAGTTTTGGTTTTGTCTCCAACTATCAAAGCTGTTATTAGTTAGAAGTTAGTTAGTTTGTTTGTCAACCATTTTCTCTATAAATAAACCCCTTGTATGCATTGTTAATTCATTGGATTTCATTCCAATCTCAATATGAAATCATCATATCGATTATTCTATTCTTCTCTCTAGTTTTATCCTAGAGAATTTTATCATGGAATTCTATTCCAATTTCTTATTGATTTTCTTCTTTCCTGCAGTCATAGCAGGCTTTAGTTTTGTTTGAATTCATGAATTCAACACATAGAGCTATAAAAACTCAGCAATACCAAACAATCATTGAAGAAATGCCCATGTTCTGAAAAACAGAGAGACTAAGACAGATAATTTTTTTTAAACTTTCCTTTGTTCTAATATAAATCCATAGAACAAAAGAAACCATAAATTCACTCTGAACTTTACAAAAACGTGCATAAAAATATGTGCTGAAAGCATACTCGCGTATATATACTATGTATACATTCGTGGAAGTGTTGGCAAAACAAATTACTTGATAGGGATGGAAACTCGACCAGTGCCCACGTGCTGAATTTCAGAGCTTTATAAAATAAATTGGAAAGTTGGAACATAAACAAATGCTGAATGTGTACATGTATACATTCTAGTTGTACTCGAACATATTTAAATACATATACATACACCCAATACATATCTGCAACACCAGTCAGATGCTAAGTAAAATACCTCATTATGAAATTAAAATGCAGTTAAAAATTAAAAAAATAAAAAACACACACACACACACAATTGCGTATACATATCAATAACACATTTTGAGTATGTGAGTGCAAGAGTGTTAGAGAAACAAATTACCTAATAGGAATGGATACTCGACGTAGTGCCCACATGCTGAATTTCATAGATTCATGGCAATAATAGTGGACAGTTTTGGAAATGTACGAGTGACTGAACTGAAGAAGGAAGAGTTTTAAAACCCTAAAAATCCCAAATTTATGTAGGATAATACTACTGACTCGGTGTACATAGTAGATGATACCCTCTCACTAAGGGCTATGCATAATAAGGCCCCGTTTGGTAGGGATTTTTTGCCCCAAAAAATTGATTTTTTGACCGTTATTTTACTATTCAAGCCGTAATTTTTGACTTCTTCTCTCACATGTGGACCCCACTTTTCTTCTAACGATCAAAAAATCAATTCTCAAAATCTCTATCAAACGGGCCCTAAATTATGTGCAAACTCCCTCAACTAGTATGTACACGAAAATTTACACTTAGCACTACCCCTTAATATATATCACACACACACACATAACCCCCAACAAGCAAATTTCCAATTCCCATTAATTTTTCTATCAGCTTCTGTTGGGAATCTACTTATACATACACAACGAAAAATTAAAATTATTTCAATTCCCACCGATGATTCCTTTGTGTTTAGATAGAAATTGTGATAAAGATTGTGCTTTTGAAGAATTTTGCAAACATTTTGCTTTTCTTTTCGTTCTAGCAATCTTGATTTGCCACCCACAACTGTCCAATTGTCCAATCTCCAACGGTGATCCACATAGAGAATTAGATTACAGCTACTAGAGTTTTCTCCTCTTATGCTAGCAAAAATAATTATGAGAATAAAAATCATGTGGATTAAAAACTCTAGCCTTGTATTTATATAAGTCCAAACGGGTCTGGCCTGGTCATGTCCGGTCCAAAATTTAATTAAACCATTTAATTAAATCCGGTCCGTGAATTAATTAACCCAATTAATTAATTCGGGCCTATAAATAACCAACGCAATTAATTAATTTATCCAACGATTGTTAAATTAATTAATTGATAAATTGCAATCTTTCAATTCTCTTTTGTGCGCGACCCATCAGGTTCCCGATCACTATGCCTAACGACATGAAATATTATTTTGATCTAATCAAAATTGATAAATTAAAACACCCTTTTAATTTATCGTCAATTCACACTCGCCGTCCCAGATTGACATCTAGCAATGTGTCAAGGCAATACATGTGACGGGAAATGTCATGTGGTAGGACAAAACTAAATTCGTTCGTTTACCGTGAAACTATAATCCCTTCGTCAATATGATCTGATCAATTACGAGATATGGAATTGTATCAATCTCGAATATCGATCATATCTTTCACTCCACTATTAAGTCAATATAAGTCAAAAACTCAATTTTTACTTATGAGTACACATTGGCCAAGGATTTCGTTATCAACTTAATTGAATGAAACGCAGATTATAATCTCCTATTATCTAAGAGTGACGAATCATTTATTGGTCAATCACAACTTTCATACGATTATTGACGTACCCGAACGATGTCGTATTAGCGACTCTTTGCAAAGCAACATCCAATACCGCCAAAGTATGACTGTCCTCATATAAGGTACCATGACGACCTCAAGTCAAAGGACCAATTTCACTATAGAACGTTAGAGATTAACCACTGACACTCAGATAGTTATCCATATGGAATCTCTCGGTGGGTCTCCAATGTTTTGTTATATAACAAAACATTCACGTGTTCATTTAAGTGTCACCACACTTTAACTTGTGAGATCAGCTACTTACTTCACAAGTAAGAAATGCCACACGTGATGGTCTATCCGTAATAACGATATTCATATCTCGTTATTACTTACGACCACGGACGATTTAAGATTTAATCAGATGTAATTTGTATCTCAAAATCACAACTCCTTGTGATTAACAAATTACGAAAATTTGAATCTACGGACTCTATTATTTATTTAATTGTCTACTAATTAAATAATAGATCTGCCATTAAATTGAATTAATTATATATTAAAAGTATTTATATCCAAAGTTGATTGGATCTAGGGCATAATACTTATAAACTCTCACTTGACTAGGTCCAATCACTTATATATCCAATATCATAAGTCTACATGACGATCATGTTTCTGCTACGACAACTCTTTGTCAGTAGATCTGCAATACTATTAAATGTGGGAATTTGTTCTTCTCTTTACGTTATTTCTATGTATTATCTCTCTGATGAGATTATACCGCCTTAATATATGTTTGGATCATTGATGAGACCTTAGTTCATTCACTTTCGCAATGGCTCTATTGTTATCAGAATACAATGGCATGTGATCAACAATATCAGGAACTATTCCAAGTTTATTTATGAACATCATGATTCAGGTTGTAACTCTTTGCTACTTCTGAAATAATCATGTATTAGGTTTCTACTATTGAATCAATGGTTACTTCACGTTTGGAACCTTTCCAACATACCGCTTAAGAATAAACCAGTTTCTTCATATGAAATCTTCTCAAGATTTCATCTATGTTAATTGGGATGAATAAGGCAATTTTCTAGATCTATCTGTATAGATCAAGTTGCTTCTCCTATATTGTTCATGAATAAATCATTTGACAACCTTTATTTCGACGTTTGAAATATAGGGATGCTGTTTTCTATAATATTAGGAATACAACAATGCTCCCACTATTTTCTTGTAAACAACACAATTCGTCTTCAAATTTGATAAAATCAAACACTTTGACTTTTCCATCAAATCGAAGATTTCAACTCCAAGAGACTTCTCTTAACCTATAGTCATGGTATGCAATTGTTGCAAGCTAAACCCGAATGGATTTCAGGAAGGCTACAGGAGAAATGTTTCACCAAGGTCAACACTTAACCTTTGTTTTTAACCTTGCTTTGTATACATGAATATTCTCATCCATATCGATCTTTTCCTTGTAAACTATTTACAAAAACTTATGGGTTTTATTCCATCAGGAGGCTTGACCAAGGTTCAAACCTTATTCACGTAAGTTGAGTTCATTTCGAGTTTTATGGCCTCTTGCTGTCTCTTTTAAGTCAACACTTAACTTTATTTTGGTGCAACTAGCAGATTCATTATCCTCGATCAGTAATACCTGATTAGTAATCATGGATTCGCACTTTCTTGAAAATCGAATGATCCTACTAGATTCACATGGAGCTGACATGTCCTCAGGAGTCTTTACTTCCTGATCAAGAGTATGTCCCATATCAGATATGGGATTAAACTCGAATTTATCTACTTAGTTAACTATATTTGTGGACTCTTGAACTCTTTCAAGTTCTATTTTACTCCCACTGCCCTCCCCTAGAGTAAACATTTTCTCTAAGAAAACGATATATCGTGAGACGAAGACTTTCTTCATGATAATAGAATTTATATTCAAATGTCTCCTTTGAATATCCCCACAAATACGTATTTATCAAATTTAGTGTCAAACTTATCCGATTCAAAGCGCTTCAAATAAGCGTCATGGCCCCCAAGCTTTCATATAAAATAAATTGGGACTATTGCGTTTCCATAACTCGTATGTAGTTCTGTTAACCATTTCAGATGGGACATGATTTAATGTGTTGCACACTGCAATCAATGCATGACCCCAAAACAATTTTGAGAGATTTGCATGGCTTGTTATTAATCGCATTATATCTAATAGTTAACGATTCCTCCTTTTAGATACACTACTAACTGCAATGTATGTGGAGGAGTCCACTGCAAGATAATCTCATTTTCTCTTAAATAATCTAGATTTTATTTTTAAAATACTCTCACTTGATCGAATCTTAATGTGAGGATATCTTTACCTATTTGTTTCTCTACTTCTAGTTTAAATCCCTTGAACTTTTCAAGAGTTTCATGTTTGAGTTTTCATCAAGTAAATATGATCATTGATAAAATAAGAGAAACATTACCTGACATTAATTGACACGAGTCCATATGCATCACTATGCATTAGACCAGTAATTATGCTGATCTTTCTTCTTTTCAAGTAAAAGAAGATTTGGTCATTGTGCCAGACATGCATAATTTGTATTTATCAAAATCAATTAATCCCACGTATACATCTTTATGTAACTTTGGAATTATTTTTCATCTATATGACAAAATATGTCATGCCATATTTCGGTAATAATTAGATTATCGCATTTATGTCTTATAATTTCTATACTCATTATAGAATTCTTAGTATTTAGAATATAAATGTTATTTTGTAATTTACCACAACTATTAAGATCTTAATTAAGATATGTGGGAACAACAATTGTCCTTAATATTAAAATGGTTCGTGTCTGAACATGAAATTCATTTTAATGTTTCCAGCTATGGTGGGTATAAAGCAACATTTCTCTAATTTCATTACTAAGTCAAAAGGCAACTGCAATAAGTATGCTCGTGCAGGCAATGCAGCAACATTTGCTCATCTTCAACGTGTAGGTCAATTTCTCCCTTTCGCAGTGGTCTACTTCAATTTAGTTTCTTTATATTTATATAAATATGATATCTACGTCTGGTATCAAATACCTAAGAAACTCGTAAAGTAGATGTAAGTCACGCTATATTTTCCAATGACCTTGCATTCTATAATGAAACCAAGGGTCATTAGATTTGGTATTGTCCTTCGTTTAGACTGTCTTAACTATATTGGATGCTTTCCCAAAGTCCCTTTAGACTTCCTCTTAATACCCTTAGAGGAATCAATGGTTTGCCCACTACCAATTTTGATAAAGGGCTTAACAATCCTAAGCATGTTAAGCAATTTAATGAGTATGCATTCGAGCTTATTCATATCATAATTCATAATTAGTATGAATAACTCTATGACAGAAATTGCAGAGTTAAGTCAATACTTAGTTCACAGTTAATAATTGAACTCAGTTGAGACACTTCTAATGTCAATCATCTTCAGTACATGAGAATTGACTGAAGATTCTTTTGTCACTTTGCGTCAGTATAGTTGTATGAAAGTCGCATATCCTTCCACACATAATTATTATCATACAACTCTTTGTAATGAAGAATTATGTGTTAATATCTATACTCTCAAGTTGCTTTTATAACTCAAGTGACATAGTTGCAAGTATAACATATGTTGCAGCACTATTGTCATCACTGCGTTTATTATAGCAGCCACCTCTTCCTTAATCGAGTCATCAC